ATGTATGAAGGGCCCGCTTCTTCATCTGCTTGCTGAGCTGATTTAGCGGAGGACGACCCTTGTACGTAGAAATTGAGGAGCATGTGTTCTCGCCCTGAAGAATCTACTGCGACCTGAGACGAAACGTGCCTATGCCTGTGCCTCGGTCGTGTGGAGGAGGGCGGATTATTGTGGAATATAAGAGGCGCTCGCAGATATTTTGCAACCTGCATATAGCGAAATCGATATTATTTCGAACTCGGACTCGTAGAATTGATGACATACCCGAGCAGACGCATTGATACGGTCACAGGCATCATTAAAAAGGACGGTAGGCGAGTTCCTTGAGAATAACTCTGATGTAAGGGCATATATGAGCACGGCAGAAAGTCCGGCACCCAGAAGAATCACAGCAAGGTTCGAAGTGCGCTGCGTTGTTCGAATCACTGTGTGAATAGACAGGATCAATCACATTCCGTCATGATGGATAAATAAGAAAAGTGAGAATTCATGCGCACCCTTTCCACCGGTGCTAAGCTCGGACCACTGTTTCACTTTCTTTCCCTTGAGAGAGCCTTGAGATATTCCAAGCGTAAATGGTCCCACTGAGTCCTCTCGGTTCTGACGCGACCCGCGCTGTTTCTGGTCAAGTGCGGATGAAAGTAATGAAGATGCAGCGTCTTGGTGAGTCACAAATGGCCTGCTAGATAACCCAAATGCATGGATTTTGTGATGGTGACCATGTGAAAATGAGAAGATGTAGGTCGATGGCCGCGAACGAGTACAAAGAGTATTGACCTGACGTGCGAGCCTCGCCATGGAGGTCATGGTCATGGTAAGGTTAACGTTCTTGACTGCATCCGAAAGCGCATTACCCAAAAATGGTCACCGCCTAATTTTGCCCGGCTAGCTCGAATTCTCGTGCACGTCCTACATGCGTGCTGCGTGCCCATACCTGTCAGCTTCACCCGTATTGTTTCTCACAGGTGTCCGGGATCCCAAAAGAAAGACATTGGGCAGAAGAAAGAAGGTATCATTCATACAGAAGCTCGGAACCCCATTACAAGACAAATACAACGCTCTAAATTTATGATTACTCCGACAATAACTTATGATCGTTCTCCACGCAGGCGCCTAGCAAGCGCAAGGTCTTTAGGTTGGATGGTGACACGCTTAGCGTGAATAGCAGCGAGATTGGTATCTTCGAACAACGAGACGAGGTAAGCCTCAGCGGCTTCCTGGAGTGCCATGACAGCAGAGGATTGGAAACGGAGATCGGTCTGGATGACTCTGTTAACACATGAATGATCAAGAAAGGAAGTGCTAACCTTGAAATCCTGTGCGATCTCACGCACAAGACGTTGGAATGGAAGCTTGCGGATGAGGAGCTCCGTAGACTTCTGGTAACGACGGATTTCACGGAGGGCGACAGTACCAGGGCGGAAGCGATGAGGCTTCTTGACACCTCCAGCGGGGACCTGTCAAGGGATCGAACTAGTCAATCAGGCATAGCGGAAAGTGTGACAGGGTCGACTAACAGCGGCGGTCTTGCGAGCTGCCTTCGATGCAAGTTGCTTACGGGGGGCTTTGCCTATCCAACACAGTAAGGATGAGGTTTGGAGGAATGATGGATACGAGAAAGCATTCTTACCTCCAGTTGACTTGCGGGCGGTCTGCTTGGTACGGGCCATTGGACTTGAGGTAAGTGAGTGAGATTGAAAGTTGACAGTACTAGTGAAGATGGATGTTGTCCGCAAGCCAAGAACTGAACGCGATCCCTTCTTATATATCTGTCCGTTTCAGCACGTGCACCTGGATCAATCAACAATGATCGTTATTTTTAGCCACAAGCGCGTCGCGCACACCCACGTGATTTCTGTGGACTCTTGCTTAATTTTCAAGTGTAGGACCAGAATGAGAACACAATGGCATTCAAATGGTAATTATCGACTCAGAAGATCACATCAAAAATGAACTGCCCACATCTCCCGCTCAGAAGTGACAGCGACGGTGTCTATATTCCAGTGACATTGGTACCAGGTACCCCTAGGGACTGTATTGAATGCATCGCTACGCAAATTTTGAAATGGAACGCAAAGTCAGTCCTTCTCAAAGAAATCACAAACTTGTTCAACCCCTTAAGCTTTAAGTCTATCATAAGGCTCACGCTCCACATGCCATTGCACACTCTTGCAGAAAATGTGTGGCCGCCTTCTTTCGTAGACCATCGTCAAGCTCATTCGTGAGGTGCTTTCCAGCTCGGCTGACTCCTTCTATCACCGGGGTGACCATCTTTTCGGTGAGGCATCTGGCTAATCACAGCAGTTTCCATCATCGGAGTAGCTCCTGGCATATGTTTCAAAATAAGACACTGACCTACGGCGTGCTCGTGTCAGGCTTTCTGTCACATAGTATTGTGAGGTGTAGTCGGAACTGTCCCTGCGAATTCAGAACTGTTCATGAGAAAAGCTTACCTATGCGATGAGCTCGCGGAAAGGGCGAGTAGGAATAAGCTGGACTTAGCTGCCTATGTCATCTACTCACCCCTATATGCTTATAACACTCTCAAACTTTCGTGCCAAACGTTATTCAACGCACAAAGTCGTCAGGCCAGAGCGTATTACTCGCTGGAATCCGGGAAAGCTCACATGTAAGCGCCTCCAAAAAGCTACATGTGGGTAGATTGAGAGAAAGCATGATGGCACCGACGTCCTTTACGATTGTAGAAATCGTCCTGCCAGCAAGCTGGATAACCACGAGGCCGCCAAGTACTGGTACAGCAAAATTTTTGTGCGTAACTTGGGACGTTTAACAATTTATGCTCCATTTTGACTGTTCGACGATCGTCACGGTGGACACGAAACATTGCAATTGAGATCCACACCCATGAACCCGAGCATTTCAGCTGGGAACACCGGGCTGGTCAAATACATTTGTTTTATCGGCGGACATGCTGAGGGGTCGCGCACCTCCTACCTCATGTTTCTCGATGCGAGGTTCGCGAGTCGAATGCAGATCTGATTGAACGAAGATTTAAAAACTTCAAGTCTCGTTGGGAAGCACAACATGAGCTTAGTCAGCAGCTTTACAATTCAATAGACGTAAACACTCGGTCACCATCACCACAACTTGAATGTTCCGAGACATCCGTTATCCATCGCATCCGAGAATGCCGCCGCACCTACATAATGGCGGGCTCTTCTACGCCTGCCGTTCTATATTCTATCGAAAGCTTCATCGACAGCTTCATCCAAATCATTATCCAAATCACCATGCACTCCACTGCAAGTCTCTGCTCATCAAGGTACGGCCATCGTTGGGGGTTCACAAACTGGTATGTTTAACTTTCAGAATATACGCATGGATTTCTCATGGCTCCCGCAGCAATTTCAACGGGAACTTAAACTCCCTTGACGTCTTCGGAAACCGAAAATTGGATTTCCTGCAGAACATCCGTGAAATACGCCAAGGGAATGAAAACGGCAGCATGTTTCCCAACCTTTCCTGGCTGTCTCATCATCCTGATCCTAGTTCGATAAACCTTGTGGCCCCTTCTACCCACAATGCTCCCGAAAAGACTGGCCAACACCATGCTCGTGCTTCTTGGATAGACTTGGATGGCGTGTCATTCGGCATTGCCGACGCCACTGGGAAGAATGGATCCCTGGCTACGCTCATGCCTGATTTCAGAGCCCGTCAAAAAGACAAGACGCCGTCTGCTGTACCTGGGCAAGCAAAGGTTTCTCTGATGGAGACTATTGCTCGCTTGGAAAGGGAGGTGCCGCCGCCCACAGGGCATGTATGTTTAGTATTCACGGACATTCGGAATTCGACCCAGTTATGGGACAAAAACCCTGCCATGTCGACGGCGATACATCTGCACAACAATTTGCTTCTACAGCACCTTCTGTATTGCGGTGGATACATTGTCAAGACAGAAGGCGACGCATTCATGTGTGCCTTTCCAACAACACTTGCCGCGGTATGGTGGTGCATTATTGCCCAGCTTCAACTTCTTCATGCACCCTGGCCTCAAGAAATATTGGATTGCGAAGAAGGCAAAGAGGTCTACGACGAACAAGGAAACCTTATTGCACGCGGCCTTTCCGTCCGTATGGGCATCCACTCTGGAACCCCAGCGTGCGAGGCGGATCCTATCACCCTCCGCATGGATTATTTCGGGTCTATGGTTAACCGATGCGCCCGTATCAGTGGGAGTGCCTTGGGTGGACAAATCATGTGCAGCGCCGACGTTGTCCGCGAGATGAATGCGAGTATGTTCAATTGCGATCCGGCCTCGAAACCTCAGCCAGCCCAGGCTCTCGAGGAAATTCGACAACTGCAGACAGTTTTTATCCCTGTCGGTGAAATCAAATTGAAGGGACTGGAGGTTCCAGAAATGGCTTCTCTCGTCTACCCTACAGCGCTTCTAGGACGGCAGCGCTTACTTGCATCTGGGTTGAGTACACCCCCGTCACCATCTACCCCCGGGTCACCAGCAGATCCTTATGCCCACAGCGGCGCTGCACAAGTTAACTGTGACCAAACTCCATCTGATGACGCATGACTAGGAAGATGAGCATTGCGTCTTCTTCATAGCTACTAGACCTATCTATTCTATGTCCATAGCGCTTAAATTATCATATTTGTGCCTTTTTGCCAGGAACAGGATTGCTTGTTGTCAAGTGCCGTGTTACTCAAATTCAGCGCTCAGTACGAGTGCTCAGTGGCCGAGTTTTTCTGCAAACAAATTAACGCCCTCGAGCCCAAGTGCTGAGGGTGTCGCGCTCCTCCTACTTCAAGTTCACCGTTCTCGATGTGAGACTCGACGACGAGTCGAATGCAGAACTGGTTGAAAACTATAGATGGTATTTCAACTTGCATCGCGCAGCCTTTAACCGCTGACTTTGAAGGAAAGGATCTCAGTGCTCACTCAGGTTCAGGCTCATGGTTGTTAACGCTATCGTCTGTCGTATTGATGTAAAAAATTGAACCTAACCTTATTTGACCCTCAACTAAATTTCCCATTAGCCGACTTGAACGACTGACCTCGTCATTACTAGTAACGCGCTCTACCAACTGAGCTAAACGGGATGCATTTCCGGGATGATGGCAAATGTCATTATTGTCACCTGGTCGAAGGATAGCCTAGTAATAAACTAGGTTGTCAATGCTACTTCCCAAACGTTTGCATACGCTCTGTAACAGCTTTCTTCAACTGTGCAAGAAGTTGTCAACCAGATCATGAAATATCATGAGGAAGAGACTTACCGGAGGGCTAATTCCGTCACCTTCGAAATATGCTAGCACAAATTCCTCTGCTACCCAATCATTTTCCACTGAACCCATATCTTGAAGTACCAGAGTACGTGGACGAGACGGGCTGCGCAATGGCGCTAGGAGCACTATGTCAAATGGTTTACCCTTTGACATTGATGTATTCGGGAAAAGCGATTTCAATGTCCTCAAGGAGGACTGGGCTGCAGGTTCCTCTGTTGGGGTAATTGTAGCACGTGTATGTGCGAGCTGCATACGCGCAGTGAGAGCACGCATAAAGCCATCACGGAGATGTGAGTAAGATGTGCCGCGAGTGGGTACTGTGCAAAATGAAGTTCAAAGCAATGGCGGCGTGTGCTCAGTACAGTAAAGACTTGCCTATTCGAATGGCGCAAGCGGTATTGCGGACAATGTGCTCGATTTTTTCATCAGGAGCTGCAGTCATGGGAATCTATCGAATGTCTATCAGGAGTCAGGATACAAGAGGGAGGAGGAGCAGTGTCACATTCAGGTTTGGATTGGCAAGGTCGGCGTAAAAGCCAACAGAGTACACCTTTATGCCAAGGAATGACACGGTTCTCACCCCAACGCCGATGAGTGAGAACTGAGGCAAAGGGAACTTTGATGGTATAAGAAGGGTCTTGGGGAAAGCAATTGATGTTGCGGGATCAACTATGCGAAGTTTTGAGCTCTTGTACCAACCCAGTCAGGCCACGAAACATACTCTCGAATTTGGAGTCGGGCAGAGATGGCTCGGCATCGAGATGGATGGTTGTGCTTTGTACCGCATATGCAGCTGAAAATATGGAAACAGCAGCGCCCAATAGTAAGGGTTTCGCGAATGACCTAGACTGCTTGGAAGTTTGTGTTATACATGAACGCGACCATGATGAGCTGAAAATCGCCAGCGGTCGTAGAAATTGAGACATATGAAGGCTGTGCCTGCTGTAAGAGAAGAACCGTCGGGGGAGCCACGTGGGAGTATTATTATCTGCATAAGTACGGACGCGTTAGGCGTTTACGGAGTAATGCTGTTGGGGACGACGCAATCCTCCTAAACAAGTCAAATCCGCAGATAGACGACGCGTCAGCTGGAAATTCATTCTTATATAAAAACCCGTACGTTCTCAATCAATCCCGTTTCTTTCAGCACTTCCATCCTTCGGATATTGCCCCACCGCGGGAACTGACCTCATATCATCCTCCCATAATTGTTTTCCATCATAATCAGCGTCCTCCTTCATGTCACTTGATATCAGTGATCTCATTGCCGAGTTTGCAGAAGAGATTTCTTCAGGTGGTTTTTCCATTTCAATGGATGAAGAACTTGATACGGCCGTGGACGTCCTCGAGTCACCCTCCGATGACATTGCCGCGGAATTTGTCTCTGATCGCTCTGCATATGAGAAGCAAAAGGCTACTCTCCAGACCTATCTTGATTCCCTCCCTTACGAGTGCGAGTCCATTGATGTCATGCAAGCCAAGCTCGAGTACATAGTTGGCAAGTTAATAGTCTGCGCTAAATCCAAGAATTGGTTGGTTCTCACCACCTGGGATGCAATCCTGCAATGGTATGTTATTGTCCGACACAATACCACATCACTCACCCCCGATTTCAGCTGGCTGCAGATGCGCTACCCCATGACGACCTCCACACGCGCCGCATTGGTCCGTTTTTATTACGAATTATGCCTTCTGCCTGGTATAGAAGTGCGGGTCATCCGTAGCTGGGCAGATATGTTGTACCGCCTCTTAGGATCCAAGACCGTTAAGCGCAAACTCGAGGCCACTGACCTCCAACTCCCCTGGAAACCCCTATGGGATCTATTATACAAAGAGCTATTCCCCAAAGGCCGCCTCGCAGAATTTCAGTAAGTGTACCGCAACCATGCCCACGTACTAGTGTTTAATGCAAGGTGTGCAGGGGAAATCGTAACTTGAACAATATATTATTATATGTTGCGGAGAGCTGTAAGCGCTATTTCCCAGCGACTGATCTCCCCGATATGCTCGAGACGTTCTTGCCTATCCTCACGCCCGATGTAAGTCATAGACTTCTTGGAATTGATGAATCTCCCATCAGATTAATGCTACTCAGACTACATTGACGATGATTCCCGTTCTGACTTCGTTCCTTCCACCGACACACACACATATCTACCTTCCCGTGATATTCAGGATTTGGGAAGCTTTCAATTCGCACATTATGGACGATAGGTTTCTCGAATTTGCTGGAATCCTCGCGGAGGAACATGTCGCTGGTAAGGAAGGACTTGCGGGAGAGGACGGAGGTGCCGCATGGAAAGATGTCGGTATCTGGACACAAGAAGAGTGGCTGATGCTTGTTAGCAAAGGAATAGAGTCGCTATGTAGGTTTTTTGAGCACACTTGATCAACATCTGCTAACTTCTTGTTACAACAGATGTCCCTGTGGGCAATTCGAGCGTGAGTCATCTCTTTCTCTATTTTCGCACAGTGATATTCAACTTAATTATAGCAGAATATTACTGCTACAGCTGTTCAGGCAGATGCTTCCGCGGCACGTCAAGGTTCCAAAGTCAAGAAAACAATCAGTAGGATCAGTCAGTATCTTTCGATCTTCTGCGCGACACGAGCAATCCTAATTTCTGCAGGTTCCTTGGCTAAACTTTTTGTATACTCGATGGCCTGCGATGGCCCAATACGCGGAGATTCTGCTTCCACTCCTGTGTCTCCCAATAGCCAACCGATGGGATACTTAGCCGGTTCGAAGGCGCTTGACTCGTTAGACAAATTGATTACAAGTACAGAATCATATTTTCATCCATCGAACTCCGGTCACTGGACGTTCACAGTACGTTATATGCTGAAATGGGTGGACATCTGCTCATATTCCCTCTAGCTCACGAATTTGCTGCAACGCCTTACCGTCGAGTTTGCCGATAGATGGCTTGAAGAACAGCAGCCTTCGTGCAAAACCCCCGTGGTACGTGTGACACCAGAGCTCGTTACAGTAAACTCATGTGCACAATTTAGGCACATCGTCTCACCCCTTCTCTTCGCCGAGCGTTCGTCAATGTTTTACGCACGCCTGCGCTCCTCGCCATGTTTTCCAAGGATTCATTTTCTATCAGCATGGCACAAGGTGCACTGCGCACTATGGCATTGCTTGAGCCGACGCTCATTATGCCTGAGCTCCTCGAGCGTGCCTACGGTGGTCTGGAAGTGGTAAACGAGACCCACCGCACCACCGCAGTGTTGAAGATGCTGTCCGGCATCTCACTTCCGCTTGTCTCGGAAATCATATGGAGGCCGGGACAAAAGCACCTACTTCCTCTTCTCGAACTTTGCCTTCCTGGCATTGATCTGGTAAGATACTTTACATTCTCATAGCGTATGCTTGTTACTCATCACGCAACGTTTAGAATGACCCCAATAAGACTATCTGTGCTACTTTGTTCATTGTCAGCGCCATGCAGCATGTGAAGGTTGGAGATCTCTCCATGCACCATTCCGGTTTCGCGTTGTCTGGGGATGCGCCAGGCGAAGAACTCATGGAGGTTGATACCGATGACACCCACATCCCTGAGGGGGTTGAAATGAGCCCATTCGTTTCACTGGGCAGGCAAGAAGAGAGAACGCTTGTCCGCGAGAGCACGGCAGGCTTCGCAGGTGTGGTCATTCTCTTGAATGATGAAAAGCTACTCACTCCCCAGTAGATTGGGTGACATCACTCTTTCGCAGAGTTTTAGCTTTATACGAGAATCTCCCCGAAGAAGGTGGGAAGAAGAAGACTACCGGCGGAAAGACGGAGGAGACCGTGCTGAAATCGATCAAGAGCATGATTGACGTGGTCACCTTGCACCTCTCAGACCAACTATTTGATCTCGTTTTGAATCTCGTTTTCGACTACGCCGCGATAAATGCGAAGTCTAATGCCATCCGAGCGTTCGGCCAGCTCGTAGCATGCCTGGCACGCGCACAACCTCAGAAAACTTTGGATAAATTTTTGCCTTCATGTATCTCACGCATACAAGAAGAACTCAAGTACGGAGCTTCGAGCGTTAGGACAACATCAGCACACGATCTTGTTCCATCTGACACAACGCTGCATTGGAGTGAGTGGCTTCAATTATTCTTTGTCGGGCATCTAACCAATTGTCTTAACAGATATGTCGATATTGCGCGGGTGTCTTGCATACGGCGCACATGCTGTAAGTGGGATTTCATTCCTTAGCAATTTTGAGTTCCCGAATGCATGATCAATTCTAGCTCCTCAAGCACAAGGAAGACATCATTAACCTTTTATCGTTACTTTTAAATAAGACGAAGAATGAGCGTGGGTACACGGGCACTGCCGCGATTGTCACTAGAATGATGCATGCGCTATCTGGTGTCTATCCCTCTGACAACCGCTTTGTGAATGAAGACGTATGGAATCAATCTGGTCGGTCGCGTCGACACCACTCTGCTCACGCAGCTGATGATTATTCAGAGTTCGGCAATTCGCACAACACTCAATGGGGCCGACTGTACGAAGCGAAGGATGTGAAGGTGGAATGGCACGGTGAGCGCGATATCATTACACTTAACGCAACTGCTGACTATGTGACATCAAGTCCCAGGCACCGAGGAAGTGCAATTCATTCTAGACATTTTGGATCGCGTAGCAACTCCTGCGCTCGATAAAATAGAGGTCCTGGCGCGGTCTACCCAGCATTGGGATGAAGTCGTTAGGAATGACTTCTGCAGGCAAGTTGCAAAACCGCGAAGATAGTACTCCATTAACATAATTCTCACAGGTACCTCTTGTTCGTGAGGTCTGTATGGAGCGGCCT